GCTCCACTACTCACCAAATGTGGAAACCGAGAACGGATCTTCCACTACAACAAGGAAAGATACACCGCCATATTTTATCTTTTATGCATGCGGGGAGTAGTGGAGCGAGGCCCTTGGTGAGAGTCATGAAGTACCGATTCTCGATATTCAATCCATAGTCCAGACCCCTGTATTACGTCGCAATGCACAACAGCGCTACCGTAAGTAACGGTCTTAGTCGTCTGCCGAATAGCACGCCCGGTCATTATGGCTGTATCTAGACTGAAAGTTGCCCCGAATGATATTTTCGCTATAACAACCGCACGTTGTATTCGGGGGACGACGCGAGAGATTGCAATTCGACCCAAGTTCAACGTCCACGTTGTATTCGGGGGAAGAAGGTAGGTTGGATTCGAAACAACGACCCAATTGCATAGCGTTTCAGGTTTTCTATTTCAATCCCCTCACACAAGAAAATGGTGTGCGCACGTACATATGAAAGACTTCGCAGTGAAAAAAAAAAAAAAAAAAAAAAAAGGTGATTGCATATCGAATTCGTTTTGGGTATGAATTTTGAGAGAGAGAAAATATTTTTCGGTTTTTCGCAGTGAAGGAAAAAAAAAAAAAAAAAAAGGTGATTGCATATCGAATTCGTTTTGGGTATGAATTTTGAGAGAAAGAAAATATTTTTCGGATTTTCGGGGCTAAGTGCCACTTAGCGGGGATTTAGACTTGGGTTATAGTGCGCACACGTTCCTGCCATCCGATCTGAACATCTCACGGTCGCGCTGTGGTCACGCTGGAAATTGCTCGAAAGGAAAATTAACCTCCTGCTACGACGACTTATCCCCCCGGCTCTTCATCGTTTCCATCGCCGTCCATCGCGCGGTTGGGTGAACTATGTGCCTGCGTTCTACTTCTTCGTTTTGAACGCGGGCGCTATACCTTAGCTCGCATTGGAGGATGAATAAATGGACAAATGGACAATGCTGTCCAGAAGAGCCGTGATGCTGTGTTCGTGATTGTGAAGGAGAGAGAGAGAAGGTGGACCAATCACCGCCGCCAGTACCTACCGCGTCCCACGACCGTTAACGGCATGGATGAATACGGCTGCCGGTGTCCCATTCAGGAAATTTCAAGCAGGCAATTTGATGACTGTCGGAAATTTCCAGACAGCTGTAGGTACTGATGAAAAGCCCAATCTTCCGGCAGTCATCGGCAGTCAGCAAATTTCCAACAACCAATGCCCCAATGCCTGCTGGATGACTGATCTTTTGAAGATTGGGCTTTTCATTGCCCTCTGTAGAGTCGTAGGCATTGTGCGACTATCGGTTTCCCATTTAGGGTTTACTTGGTTATGCGTAATTTGATCCGTGTTAAACGAGCGATTGAATAGGTAATGGCATACTTCGGGGGGGGGGGGGGAAGGCAATGGCATTGGTTTAGGGGTGGGAAGAATTCGTGTTTGAGAGAGGCATACTCAAACTTGGTAGCGCTTTCCAAAATGCATCTGGCCACAATCTCGGCCACACGTGGATGAATCTGACTGCAATGACGTCTAGAGCTTCGTAGAAAGAACTACCAGTTGTGTCAGTCAGTGCTCGTCTTATCGGAAGTCCGATTTTCGTGCAGAACGACAAAGTATGGGGGTCTGGTTTCGTCAGTGACGCTTAGAGCGAGGACGCGCTCACAGTAGCTCCACACCACATGTATCCGACCGCATTTACGGCCCAAGGTGGATGCATCCCGCGGCAATTACGGTCACAAATAATAAGAAGTCCTACTGCGATTACGCACTGACTTCGCAGACGGCGACCGTGTGAGTTCTCTCTCTCTCATGTGATTGCACGCAGCGACCGTGCTCTCTCTCGTCACACACACACACACACACGCACGCACACATACACACGCAATACACACACACACACACACACACAATGGCGCGGGTGGGCACGCGCAAACGTCCACTGGACTCCCCTCGCAGTGCCGCCACGCCAAGCACACTACCGAGCACAGCATGCGACAACGACAAGCAGCGCATGGACGTCAGTGCCTGCAGAACAGTGACGTCCCGTCACGGTACGCGCACTGCCAATGAATCGAAGTCGCAAACAACACTCAACGAGAACAGAAAGCATCTGCCCATAAACGCTGCAAACATTCATCCAATGCCAAAGGCAAGCCAACGAATGCACTCTGCCACCTTTTGTGGGCAGATGCACCTTCTCTTGCCACGCGCTCTATCCTTACGAGGCCGTTCAGCTCAACAGTCGATTGTAGCAAATGGATAACCTATCAACGGGCTTAGCGCAGATAACCTATCAACGGGCTTAGCGCAGATGGTGCAGCTATCAATTGTCGAAATACAAACCCAAGTTCGGATCCAGATCCAACGAGATAAACAGAATTACTGTAAATACAATCAGATGAACAGAACAAAATAATTTCAAAAATGGAGACTCTAGGAAAGGGGACCCTCCCCCAGAGAGTCCGGAAACAGCAGTTTTTATATGGCACGGAGAGTCCCAAATCAGAGCCATGACCGGTTGGCGACCTTGCATCCCCCGTGTTCACAGGCAGATCGCAACAAATGAATCTTCTCATGTTCCCCAGCTTGAACGACGCGCTATAGAAGATAAAACGAAAGCCAATGGCACTGCAAGGAAGCAAAAGCAAGAAAACAAACAAAAAAAAAAAAACGTATCGAAGAGACCGATGCGCTGTGTTGGAAGCACCTCCTTTGCACGAAGTCGTGTAGGGAAAAACAAAAAAAACGAAATAAGGAAATTTAAACCGGCAATTAACGTTATGCTCGAAAATCGAAAATACAGAGAAGCAGGCTCGGCAGATTGTTCATTCCATACAGTAGGGGGAGGGAGGGAGGGGGGGAGGGGGGAAGGTGGAGGGGAGAATGGAGGAAGAAGATAGTGGAGTAATGCGGGCAAAAGGTGGATCGTCCAACCACTCGCCAAACGCCACATTGATAGGTTCAAAATGTTGGCGTTCGGCGAGTGGTGCGACGAGGCCTTATAGGAATTGTCACTCACCTGCCGCACATTCATTATCAGCCCTGAATCCAGTGTCGAACACGAAGACAACAGTAACGCCCTTCGGAACACAGTCGAACTTCTCCAAGAACGCATCATGTGCGATGAAATTCTTGAAACCGCTAGCATCGGCCGTCGCGTCGACCGGCAGGATGACCTCCTCCAAGCCTTCGAAGGAAGCCTTTGACGGAACCTGGGAGCCATAGCCGGAGAAATGCACGTAGAGAATGTCACCATCGCACGCACCTTTCACAAGCCAATCGAGAGCGGCCAACACATTGCACTTGGTGGGCGAGAGAGCACCGCCGGTGTAGACGCACGGATCATCGACAAGCACAAAAATATCCGACTCGGCGAAGCCGTACGATGACGTCAACACGGATTTCGCGTGTACGACATCGTGGACAGGACCGTCCAGACTCGGGATCTGTCGGTTGTCGCAATAGCTGATCCCGATGAGAACTGCCTTGCGCGCCATCTTCACTCCCACAGAGCTCTGCTAACGAAACGAGCTCTTTCCTCCGAACGGGACGGGAGCAAGAAGATCAATGTGGGTAATGGCGTCTCGCCACACCTTGCCTTACTTTCCCCTACCCCGTCTGCGCTCTCCTCCTCTACCTCCCAACCCCCGGACGGTGATCAGCGCACAGCCTTTTCGCTCACTGTCGTTCTACAGCCACCCCAAGCTCCGATCCGCCGCCTAGAGAGGTGAGGTCATGTCGATATATAACCCGTAGAGGAACCTATCACTCGAGGGATACTCCCGTGACTCTGGGCCTCGCTCCACTACTCTCCACATGCACAAAAGACAGAGGGCCTTGTGTCCTTCAGGACGTGTGTTCAAATTGGAACGATCAGAGAAGACCAGCATGGCTCCCGCGCAAAGAGGGACAGACTGCCTTGCCACACCACTGTTGAAACCAAAAAAGATCAAGGGCCTCGTGACACGGCACACGAAACGAAAACGAAACGAGCGCATCTACCCAGGAAAGGTGGAAAAATACATTCGTTACTATTTATAGCAAACTGACGAACCTGGCCATTTTCTCCGGAAGATGCACTCGTTTCGTTTTTCGTTTCGTTTTTCGTTTCGTGTGCCGTGCGGCGACGCCCCAAGTGTATGGGTCTCGCTCCACTCCACTTGACTCTAGGCAAAAGCCTATGTAGAGTTCATCGAGCGTTGTCAGACTCTAGAAAACATGAAAAAAGTCGGCCTCCCTCCACTTACACTAGAGGGTGCCACTCTAGACTGACACTTGAACAGGTCAGTCGAGAGTCCCCCTGGTTTGTGTCCCATTCCACAACCCACACCGCCAGCCTGGTTTGTCCACCCAGTCGCGAATTTCAGCGCGTTTGAAGACAAAACAGAATTGGAGGACCCTAAAGGAAAGGGGCCCTACAGCCTTGGGCACTCTAGAGGAGTAGCTACAGGCTTGGGCAGTCTAGAGGAGTCGATACAGTCTTGGGCACTCCGGAGTCTTCGAGAGTGCGGGTCTGGAGCATTTTCTGACAGCACTAGGCACACGTTTTCGAGAGGTTTGTCTAGTGTAAAGTGGAGCCAGGCAGAACTCTCGATTTTTCGATTTTTTTAAATTCCCAATAAATATTCCCGGGACGAGGACCCAAAAATTCTTTTTTTTCTTTTTTTTTCTATAAAAGTTGGACCTTTTCTCGATTCGAATAAGAAAAACAATAAAAATAAATAAATAAATAAATAAAATAAAAAAATTAACGGACGTCCCGAAGGACGGGGGACCCAACAATTCAACCCGGTGGAACTGTCGAATTTTCGATAGTCTAGTGTAGTGGAGAGAGAGACTCTATGCTCCCTCTCGTAGCGAGTGGCAAGAAGGATCCTTTACAATGAATCAGGAATGGATGCATCTTGCCACTTTCGCGGGAAGATGCGCTGGTACTTTTTTTGTTTGGAGAGTAGTGTAGAGAGGCCCAAAGAATAGTGATGGCGGTGACTCTTTCGATGTCCAAGGGGAAAATGCAGTCTCATTTTGCAAATTCGGAGAGCAGTAAGCAGTGGAGCGAGGCGCTCTGCCCTTCCCCCCCCTCCCTCTTGTGTTGCGTCCCGGGCGTACGAACATTTCCACAACAGCCGTTATCTTGTTCCCATGTGTGATCAGATCCTCAGGGCATACTCACACTACCGTACTATCTTGAATGAATCTCACCACATTTACGTCCAGAAGTAGGTACAAAAAGTCCTAGAGTGAGTACGCCTTTAATGAAGAAAAAAAAAGAAAAAAAAGTGGTCGTATCGTGATGGAATCACCGGAATCTCAAGGATTCGTCCTGTAGACGTTCACAGTAGCGGTCTAGGAAACGAGACTCGGGGCCACTGTGGAGTTCTCGGGGGCACTATGGAGTTCTCTAGGGAGGGAGGGGGATAATAAAAAATAAAATGAAAAAATGGACTGGGGGCACTATCGAGTCCTCTAGGTGTCTGGGAGACCCCTATCAAGAGTGGCGGGCCTTGCCACACCACTCCCGGGGTAAGGTCCCACTTGCGCAAATTTGGAGATTCGGCCGTTGATCTCAGCTATCTACGGTCAGTATCTCTTAATTCGTGCAATTGGGACCTAGCCCCCGGAATGTGAAAAATGGAGCATGCATCTTCCGCCAAAACACAGCAAGAAACACCCCCCGTGACTGGTGTGGGGATGCCCTGGGACTACCGCGTTCCCGCGAGCACAACGCGCCCTGAAAACGAATGTATACAAGCAATCCCTCCGGTACGGTGCAGACAAAATGAGGGTGCTTGTGTTCGGCGAGCAAAAAGAAGAAGGAGCGCCAAGAGAAAAAGGGAAAAAACAGCGCAACACTCGGCGCGGGCCCAATGCCCGCTCATTTGTTCCCTAGGTCGACGCTGGCAAGGGCCTAGCCACACCACTTTCGAAATCGAAATGTGAAAAAGACAAAAACGTGGGAGGTGCATCTGGCCATGTCGGATGCGGAAGCTCATTCTCATTTTGCACATTTTGAGAATGGTGTGTCATGCCCCAAAACGAGTCTTCCCGCCCGTTGTCGTCCGCGCTTGCGTGGCGGCCCGAGACCTGCTGCACCTCAAGCGCGTAACTTCTGTTTTTTTTTTTTTTTTTTATTGAAGGGCTGCGCCGCGCTTTGCTGCAGTGCAAAGCAAAGGCAACAAAGACGGGTCGAGTAAGCAAGTACACCCTTGCGATCCCTCCAACGCCCGACAAAAAATAATTTAGTACCGTGTGGGCCGCCGATGGACCACAGATCATATATTGAACTGAGCAGTACAGATACTACACGGCTCCGAGCAGTACAGATCTTAGCCAAAAGGACGAGAAAAGTATTGTAACTTCTGTTTTAACTTCTACAACTTCTCCGTCCAGGGGCCTCGGCCCACATGCAAGGTTTAGTAGCAGAAAATGAGACTGCGCGACAGCGGGCGGGAAAATTCTGCTGTCAGTACTGGGAGTCTTTTGACGCCGTCCCATAGGGCCATCAGCCAGCATGACGGGTCGTCGAACTGCTACATCTGTTGAGTTGCGTAAATATCCCTGCCTCGAATTGCTACATCTGTTGAGTTGCGTAAATATCCCTGCCTCTTCACGAGTTACCGGAAGTCAGTGTTTCATGCGGAGGCCTATTCTGCCCGCCAACAGACGACCAATGAGGAATCAGGGCGTTTACTTAGCTATGACACTTTTTTGACGATAGTAAACCAAACGTCCCACGCCTCGCCGTGTGCTGCGCCGACATGTTTTTTGCCAATGAACACCTCGCGTTTGGGCGGGAAAGCTGCCACTTCCGTGCGCTGGGCTAACAACCGCTGGATTTTTTTACAATCCACGTCTCTTTGGAGTCGCTAAGATGTCCCTACTAAATGCAACCCTTGCATGTGGGCCGAGGCCCCAGGGTAAGTACGGTCAGGTGCATCCTTACCGGGTTCGGAAAGCCGTCATATGGGGCCCCTCGCTGCACTACTCTAGACTCTCGAAATATTTCGAGATTTCGTCTAGCGTTGTCAGAGAGGCTATACTCTTGAAATACCCGCCTTCGCTGCACTTACTCTATAAGCTGCTACACTTGATGAACTCTCCAAACCCTGCGCGTTGTCCCACTCGACAGAAGAGCTGCACCACTGTGCTACGGACGAAGTCTGGCCGCCGGGACAGGAGGTCCACTCTCGAAAAACAACCCGGTCGGCGGGCAACTCCCGAGGACACTTGAGAATTCGCGTTTTGCAGGCGGGCGACTCTCGACGTTTCGAGAGTGGCAATATAGCATGCCTTCTGACAGCTCTCGATCGGGTTTCGAGAGTTTCCCGATCGAGAGTAAGTGCAGCGACGTCCCACTCTCGAAAATTCGAGAGTCTAGAGTAGTGCAGCAAGGCCCAGGGGCTCGCCACATCACTGTTGAAAACACGATTTTAAATAGTTTCTCGGTCACACTGCTGTGCCAAATCCGCGTTTTCATCCAGCGGCCTAGCTCAGTTTGTTAGGCACGGAGGTTGTGGGTTCGAGCCCCAAAACCGCCTGCGGCGCACTTAGTGCCAACCAGCAGTGATAGTCCGCTTGATTCCTCTGATCGGTAATAGCAGGGTCCTTGGCCAAAACGGGTGTGAGTGTGACTGTGAGTGGGTTCTGTGTTGTGTGTGGGAGAGTGTTGGCCTTAGACACTGCTGTTATTCGGTTGGGGGTGGAGGACGATGAAAAGGGAGGCGCAGCTACTGGCAAAATGCTCGGTCTTTGCGTTAGCCAGACCCCCACCGGCGGCCCCACCACATCCTTGACCACCATGGTTGGGGCGGGGGGCAACATGCATCCCCTCTGATGGCTGGAGGGAGACAACAAAGCTATGTTTGCAGGGGTCCCTTGTCTAAGCTTTAGGAGTAGTGGTAGGTATGTAGTGTAGGTGAATTGAAAGAATTTGCAAGATGATGAAAGATTTGAGAGAAGAATATAGCAAAAATAAATAAATAAATAAATAAATAAAATCCGCGTTTTCTTTTCTTTTTTTTTCCAACTACACCATTCATATTCCAAATGTGAAAGTTTGAGGCCGGGGGCCTCACAATTCAACCCGGAGTTATCCCAACCGGAGCCACATTGCGCAATGGGAGTGAAGTTGGCTAGGCTTTGATCCTAAGGCCGGTGTTCCGCTACGCGCCGGAATCGGGTTGAAGTTTTGATGCGGGCCGGTGGATGAAGGGGATCGAGGGCGGGTGGGCGTGCAAAGTGGCGTGCATACCGTATTGTTCACAGCGCGCCACTAAACGAGAGAGCGCGCCCACGGGGCCGGGTACACGGCGGGCGTCAATGCGGATGAATATCTTGACGTGCCCGCCGTCGGATAGCATTTCCGTGTCGATTTGTGTTCAGCCCCCTTTTTTTTTTCGTATTGAAAGGAAAAAAAAAGAGAAAAAAAAAAGAATTTGAGAATGTTTGATTTGGTTATTGATTATTTACCTTTCTTTTTTTTTTTTTTTTTTTTTTTTTTTTTTTCTGGCGTGTCGTTTTTTTTTTTTTTTGTGTTTTTTTTTTTGCTGTGTCTTTCTTTTTGCGTCGGCCCGAAAAAAAACAAACAAAAAAAGACAAAAGAAAAAACAAAAGACAAAAAAGACAATTTTATTTTGCAATCGTTTCGTGTCGGAACGAACTTTCCGCTAGAACACGGTGAGATGCAGTCATAACAGT